ATCAAAATGTCCATACTTCCTAAAGCAATCTATAGGTTCAATGCACTCCCTATTAAAATACCAATGGCATATTTCACTGACCTAGAAAGAACTCTCCAAAAGTTCATTTGGAACAATAAAAGAACCCAAATAGCCACAGCAATCCTGAGAAAGAAGAGTAAAGTAGGAGGGATCTCAATACCAGACTTCAAGCTGTATTACAAAGCCACTGTTCTCAAAACAGCCTGGTACTGGCATAAGAACAGACGTATAGATCAATGGAATAGAATTGAGAACCCAGATATCAACCCAAATCACTATGCTCAGTTAATATTTGACAAAGGAGGCACGAATATACAGTGGAGTTAAGAAAGTCTCTTCAATACTGTAAATGGTGTTGGGAAAATTGGGTAGACACATGCAAAAGAATGAAACTAGATCACCAACTTACACCATACACAAAAATAAACTCAAGATGGATACAGGACTTAAACATAAGACAGAAAACCATAAAAATACTAGAAGCATCCAAAGGCAGCAAAATCTCAGACATATGCCAAAAGAACTTCTTCACTGATACTGCCCCTAAGGCAATGGAAGCTAAAGAGAAAATAAACAAATGGGACTACATCAAAATAAAAAGCTTTTTTTTTTTTTTTTTTTTTTTTTTTACAGCAAAAGAAACCATCAACAAAACAAGAAAGCCCACTATATGGGAGAACATATTTGCAAATGTTATCACTGATAAAGGTTTAATCTCCAACATCTACAGACAGCTTATACAACTAAATAAAAGGAAAATGAATGATCCAAGTAAAAAATGGGCAATGGACCTAAATAAAATATTTTCAAAAAAAGACAGAAGGAAGGCTAAGAGGCACATGAAAACATGCTCAAAGTCACTAATTATCCAAGAGATGCAAATCAAAACAACAATGCGGTACCATCTCACACCTGTCAGAATAGCCAACATCAACAAATCAACAAACGACAAGTGTTGTAGAGGTTGCAGAGAAAAAGGAACCCTCTTGCACTACTGGTGGGAATACAGACTGGTGCAACCACTGTGGAGAACAGTATGGTGTTTCCTCAAAAAACTGAAAATGGAACTCCCATTTGATCCAGTAATCCCACTCCTAGGAATATATCCCAAGAAACCAGAAACACCAATCAGAAAGAATATATGCACCCCTATGTTCATAACAGCACAATCTGCAATAGCTAGAATCTGGAAACAGCCTAGGTGCCCGTCAGCAGATGATTGGATCAAAAAACCATGGTACATCTACACAATGGAATACTATGCTGTCATAAAAAAAGAAGGAATTCTCATCATTTGAAGCAACCTGGATAGAACTAGAGAGCATCATGCTGAGTGAAATAAGCCAGTCAATGAAAGAGAAATTCCACATGACCTCACTCATTTATGGATATTAAAGAACATTATAAACTGATGAACCAAAAGACAGATATAAAGACAGTAAAGCAACAAGCAGACTGTCAAATTACAGCCGGGAGGGTAGGGAGATCTGGGGGAGATAAGAGATCAACCAAAGGACTTGTATACATGCATATAAGTACAACCAATGGACACAAATCTCTGGGGGGTGGGGAGGGTATATATTGGAGGGGGGGCAATGTTAAAATATGTACATAGATAATTTAATTTAAAAAATTTTTAAAAGTAAAAATCAACAAAAACATCTTCAGGTGAAGATTAAAAGAAAAGAAAAAAGAAAGACTAAGAAAGAAAAAGGGGAACAAACTATATAGATGGGGAGAAAACTCCAATAGAACAACCACTGATCCCAACAAATGCCAGCAACAAGTACCTGGAGATTAATACAAACTACAAACAACAACTAATATCAAGCGAGGTGAGGAAAAACAGAAGCAAAAAACTCACAAAAACAAAGCAAACAAAAAACAAACAAAAAAAGAATAAGCAAAAAATCTCACAAAAAAAGCATAAAGAATCGATGTAGTCAACATTCAAGGAAACTACAGCAGAAGGAGAGAGAGAAAAACAATTGTTGATAGTTAAGACAGAGAAGAGAAAGCTGTATATGGACTTGAAACAGGGGATTGGAAATTAGATATGTAAGTAGGGTGAAATTTTAACAGGGGTTAAATAGAAAGAATAGAAAAAAATTAAAGCAGGCAAAGGGTAAGAGAAACAGGTTACCAAAAGGAGAAAGGTTAGGAAGAGAGTGATGGCATAAAGTTAGAGTTGAGATAGAGTAAAATGATGCAAAAAGAAAGACGAAAATAGAATGTGGAACACTAATTCCAAAGTAAAATAAAGTGAAAATAAGATGACACTTAAAAATAATAATAATTAAATACTAATAGTAATAATACTGATTGAAAATAAAAATATAATAATTAAAAATGTAAAATCAAGTGAGGAAAAAACATTAGTTTCTTAAGTAAAAAAATCAAGAAAATAAAAATAAAAAACAATAAAAAATGAAATGTGCAGTAGTGAAGGTCATTCACTTCACCTATTGTTCTATTTGGCACACCTGTTTCCCAGTTGGTTCAGTGTTGCAGATTCCTGTATTCCACTGCTCCTCAGTGTTGTAAGCCAGTCCTGGTTTTTAAGCAGGCAGTGTCTTAATTTCTTGTATTCCTTTATATTTGATTACACAAAAGTCAATTTGTGATTCAGCCCCTGGGTGGCAGTGTTTCTCGACTGATTTCCAGGTCTATATGGCCTCTCTAGCCTTCTTTCCCTGTGCACTCAATACCAGTTTGTGAGAGTGGGCTGCCCAGAGCCAGCTCTCCGAAAGTCTGATTCCCAGGTTCCAGAAAAACAACTTTCCCCTGCAGTCTCCCCGAGTGGCCCCAACTGAGTGATCTTTTATGTATTGGGCTTAGTAATGAGAAGCAAGGATTTGAAGAGGAAAAGTCCCAAGTGTGCAAACAGGGCTGCAGGCAAGTCTGCACAGTCCTCCTTTCCCCCTTGAGTCTAAGCAGCTGGCACACTTTTAAGATCCTTAGGCTTTTCTTTTGCCTCAGAACAAAATGGGTTGTTTTTTAGAGATCCTTTCTATTAGCAGCTCTCAGGACCCCTTTTCACATTCATGGATCACGCCAACCCCAACAGCCACGGACTTTTCTAGGCACTGACCTTCTCCAGTCCTCCAGCTCCCACAGTAAGCATGTTTCTCTCTCAAGCAGGAATCAGAGACCTCACCTTACCCCAGGCAAAATCTGACCTGTGTAGACCTCTGATATTGCATGTTTGGGCCAGTTGAGGACCGGTATTCTGGGGCTTGCAGCCGTTCGGTGGTTGCCGCAGGTGCAACTTTTCAAGCTTCCAATAAGATCCACTTTTCCCTTCAAGATTGCGTGTTCTGCGTCTGAGCCAGTTGCTCTGAGTGGGAACCCAGCCTCAGTGAGGCTGCCCGAACAGGGGAACCAGCAGTCCCCCACCTTCTCCTGGAGTTTAGCTGCCCTTTGACTCGCCAACAAATACTCCCATGTGACCCTCAGCTATTCCTTCTTTCTGCTCCGGGACAAGGCTCGGGACCTGCCTGTCTATTCCACTGCCACTTCCCCCCCCCCCCCCCCCCCCCAATGTGTATTCTTTTATGTCTCTTATTTTATTCATATAGTGCTTTTAAGATTCATCCATGCTATTGTATGTATCTTTAGCAACTATTTCTTTGTAATGCTGAATAGTATTCTATTGAGTAAATAAACCATACTTTGTTTTCCCATTCTCTTATTATGGGTACCTGGGCTGTTTCCAGTTAATGGCTATTTTGAAGAGGAAAAAAAAAAAATTGCCGAAACCGGTTTGGCTCAGTGGATAGAGCATCAGCCTGCGAACTGAAGGGTCCCCGGTTCGATTCCGGTCAGGGGCATGTACCTTGGTTGCTGGCACATCCCCAGTAGGGGATGTGCAAGAGGCAGCTGATCGATGATTCTCTCTCATCGATATTTCTAACTCTCTATCCCTCTCTCTTCCTCTCTGTAAAAATAATAATAATAATAAAATAAAAATTAAAAAATTTAAAAAATCAATAAAAAATATATTTAAAAATTTTTTTTTAAATAAACATACTTGTACTAATAATTTGGGGAAATGTGTTTTTGTAACTCTCAGGCTGGGACATAAGAGTGTGTATATTTAACTTTATAAGAAATTGCAATATTCCAAAGTGGTTGTATCATTTTGCTCTCCCCCCAGCAATGTTTAAGAGTTTATTTTGCTCCACATTGATACCAACTTGACATTATCAGTTTTTAAATTTTAGCCATGTTAAAATACTATCTTACTGAATTTTTAACTTGTATTTCCCTGATAATTAATGTTCTTGGGCATATTTTCATGTGCTTATTGGCCATTCTTAGATATTCTTCTGTAAAAAGCCTATTCAAGATTTTTTTTAAATTGTAGTAAAATGCACATAACACAAAATTTGCCATCTTAACCATTTTTAAGTGTGCAGCTCAGTAATTTTAAGAATTTTCACATTGTTGCTTATAAAACTGAAATTCTGTGCCCATTAAACAACAAATTTCAACCCCCATCAATTTGTCTGTTCTTAATTATTTTTGAGTTTTTAAATATTTTCTTGAATTTTCTCTTAGAGGACCCTGAATAAGGAAAAGGTCTATTCCATGGGTTTAAAATAAAGGATTCTAGCCCAAACTGGTTTGGCTAAGTGGATGAGAATGTCGGCCTGCAGACTGAAAGGTCCCAGGTTAAATTCCGGTCAAAGGCATGTACCTTGGTTGCGGGCACATCCCCAGTAGGGGCTGTGTAGGCGGCAGCTGATCGATGTTTCTAACTCTCTATCCCCCTCTCTTTCTCTCTGGAAAAAATAAATAAAATATATTTTAAAAAATAAAATAAAATAAAGGATTCTCTCACCCAACTTATTGAGCAAATAAGTTATGAACATAGTTTTCATATCTTTGTTAACTAAGAGCTGCAGGACACTTTACAGTCATTTTATTTTATAATTATTTCCCTTTGACAGCATAGTACATACCTTTGTGTCTTTCAGAAATTAAAGCCTTTATTTGTGCAGTCTAAAACGAACTTGGCAATAGATTCTACATCTTCTGGAAGTGATAATCCTTCGGTAGGTAGATTATTTCTTCCCCTATTAAACATTTAATCAGTTGATATTCAGCTGCAATAATGAAACTTTTTGGTTTAATATTCTTCAGATAGAAAACATGGACATGGGCCATTGTCAGAGGTCCTTTGTGAGATTACCAAGAGGTAAAAATCTTTATTGTTGGAAAATGTTTCACACATAGAATGAATATCTACTTAGTCTAGAATAATATTCCTTTTCTTTGTTAACTTGAGGTGTTTGGTATTCTGGGTGAATGTATGATTTTTTAGATAACTTATAAAACTAATACATAGATATGCTGAATGAAAAATGCTAGTATGTACCATATTTTTCGGACCATAAGGCGCACTTTTTTTCCCCCAGAAGTGGGGGGAAAAAGTCCCTGCGTCTTATGGTCCAAATATAGCCTACACATATACTTTTTAAAAAAAGTTTTTTTACTTGCCCGGCTCTGTGTGGTCTCTGTGTGCTTGCCCGGCTCTAAAATGGTTCTAAATGCTGCTGTTTACTTTACAGGGTTGATTACATGTGTTTATGACTGTGATGTTGGGTTTTAATGCACATAAAATATTTTAGGATACTATTTGTTTCAGAATCTTTTTTTCTTCATTTCCCTTCTCTAAAAACTGGTGCGTCTTATGGTCCTGAGCATCTTATGGTCCGAAAAATACGGTATTTCTGAATATTGATTGCTCTTTCTTGAAAATAGATTGTCATATTTTAAAACTAGAAACTGTCTCAATTGGAATCCTATTTCTTTTTTTATTAGTTAACTTCCCAACAACCTAATGCTCTTGTTAAATTTCTATTTTTCCAACTTAATAACTAAAAAAATATATGACTATTTCTAGCATACTTTATCTCCCCCCAGTCTTTATAGGGTTCAAATTGGAGTCTTTTAAAAATGGAAGTATGTTTTGTCCATAACTTTATATAGGTCTTTGAGGGTACAATCATACTTCCTTTTATTAAACTTGGAAACCAAAATACAAACCCTAATATTACATATTTCCTTAGTATATGTTATAAGCAATCCAGCTGAGGGTGTTAAGTGGCAGGATGATTAAGTTAGATTAACAAAATATGGCTTTATTAGTCTGTATATAAATAATTATTATTTTAAATATATTTTTATTAATTTCAGAGAGGAAGGGAGAAGAAGAGAGAGATAGAAACATCAGTGTTGAAAAAGAATCATTGGCCAGCTATCCCCTGCACACCCCAAGGGGAGGCAAAAGCCTGGGCGTATGCCCTGAATGGAACGATGACCTCCTGGTTCATATGTTGACGCTCTGAGCCATACCAGCTGGGCTTTAATAGTAAATCTCTATGCAAGGTAGAAGTGTGTGGTATGAGTTTAAATCATGGACACCAATTTTAAAATCTTCTGTTTTTTGTACGCTAAATTATTTTTTAGCAGAGAGAAACTTCTGCTAGAGATTAATTCTGGGCCTCGATGCAATGGAGAGGCTATTTCTGTAGTGCTTATATAGTATCTGCAGTATCTGTTCCAGAGGTGCCTGCTCCGGTTACATAGGACTCTCTCAGCAATCACTGGTTGCCTCCTGGGCTGGCATTTAAATTACAGTAAGGCTCAGCCTGGACTCTATAGTGCCTGACTACTACCTTTTAAAGTTATTGGCATGTAAATAAATTATTACTAGATCTGTTGAGTTATTGGAAATTCCAATCATACAGTAAACTTCTATGGTTGCCCTGAAATTTTAATTACAAAGTTTCATTAAATGCAGCATTTCATCCCACAAAAATCTCAATTGAGGAGTTTGCATCCAAAATTGATTTTCTTCAGCCAAGCAAACCATTTTTCAAAGGTTCATTTGAAGTAGTACAAATCGATAGTTGAAACAAGTATCACTCCCTTATCTCAGTCCTGAAAATGCAAATGTGGACTTATTTCTACCTGGTACACTCAAAACCCTCCTAAAATTCATTTGTCCACTTTTTTGCCTTACCACTTAAACTGACTGTAAACATTTTCTATGATTCATATTTTTGCAGTATGCCACAAAGCTCATCATTCTGAATATGAATCAGCATTGCACAGAAGGCATAGGTGACAATGTTCAGACCAATGGCCTCTGAACATATTTCTTTTTACCAAATCTCACATACAACTTTGACAGGTCTTATTTTTCCATTTGAAACTAGAGGAAATAACTCAGTTAAAAGTTTCTGGTTCATTGGGTTCCCAGTTAATCCAAAGTTTACTAGAAATGAAATTTTTTTTGTTATTAATAAATATAAACAAATAAATGAATTCCAGAGGGCATTTTTATTATAAATTTACCAATGTGGGGAATAAATGAATTATAAATTTACTAATTTGTGTAGAAATGAATATTTTCACTAGAAAGCACAGCTTTTAGTGGTTATGCCTACTGAATGGTAGTCACACTAGACATTCAAAGAACCAAATTATCTTAACTACAGGTTCACTGGAAGGTTCTCAGATATTTGGGAAGATTGAGTACCCTCTTTGGGCCCCTAGAAAACAGTTTGATACATTATTGCTGTTTTTAAGCACTAATTCACAAATGCATTATTAAAGAGGTATTTAGTTATGTGGATAGTATGTACCTGACTCATAGACAAATCTTCATTACATTCTATCACAAGACAGGGGTGAGGGGCATGGTTTACTATAACCCATCTCGTGGCAGAAGCAATTGAGCACTTTAAAGTCACTATTGTATTAAGTTGCATTTTTTGAATATGTAAATAGAATATTAATATTTTATTCTATTTTTTTAAATCCTCATCCAAGGATAAGTTTTTATTGATGGGGAGAGAAAGAGAGAGAGAGAGAGAGAGAGAGAGAGAGAGAGAGAGAGAGAGAGAGAGAGAGAGAGAGAGAGATTGGTTGCCTCCTGTATCTATCCTTACCGGGATCGAGCCAAAAACCTTGGAATATTGGGATGATGCTCTAATTAACTGAGCTACCCAGCCAGGGCCTCACAAAATACTTTTATTAAGTGTGGTCCTATTCTAAATGCCTTTCAGGCTGTAGCTTCAACCCTCTAGGCTAGGGGTGTCGAACTCAATCAGAGAAGGGGCCAAAATCTAAAATCCATTCTAAATCGCGGGCCGAATGGTTTACTGAACAGTCATAAACTCATTGTGATGGAAACGCAGTGGAGTGCAGTGATGACAGTGCGGTGCGGGCCACATTGCAAGGCCTATCGGGACGGATTTGGCCCGCGGGCCTTGTGTTTGACACATGTGCTAAGCGGTTGGTACTCTTGCTTTTCCCCAATTTAGAGAGGAGACAACTGGCTAAAAGGGGATTTAGTAAACTGCCAGGATTACACCACTAATAAGTGGAGCAGCTTGAACTCAAATCCAGGATTTGCCTTGCTGTCCCATTTCTAGCAATGCAGTGGGAGGTGTGATATAGCAGGAAGGCTTTGGCAGTGGACAGTTTTAGTTCCCATCTCAGTTCCAGTCACTCACTGGGTGACTTCAGCTCAATTTTCTCTGCTACGTAAAATGGAGATGGTGATTTCACCCCAGCTTTGTGATGAGGATTAAGTGAGATAATACGTGATGTGCCTAGCTAATCCCTTACCTTTCCTCCTAAACTAGTGGGTGGCAAACTCATTAGTCAACAGAGCCAAATATCAACAGTACAACAATTGAAATTTTTTTGAGAGCTAAATTTTTTAAACTTAAACTTCTTCTAACGCTATTTCTTCAAAATAGACTCTCCCAGGCCATGGTATTTTGTGGAAGAGCCACACTCAAGGGGCCAAATAGCCGCCTGTGGCTTGCGAGCTGAGGTTTTCCAACCACAGCCCCAAGCTATTGATAATAGAAACCTGGGTGCCCAAAATAAAGTCTATTTTTTTACCTAAGCAGTAAATTAATGATTTAAAGGAGCTACTCTCTCTGTTAGTTCTTCAGTAACTAATTTTCTATCAGACATAAGTATAAAAATAAAATCCATCATTAGTATTAATACATATAGTAGCTACGCAAAAATGAACTAAAACATAAATATATTTTAAAATAACCTTATACCGGCTAATATATCTTTCCGAAGCAGATTGACAATAACTTTGTATGTTATTAAGTTTTAATTCAATAATCTTTAAAGAGAACAACAGAGAAGTCATGCAACATAGAAAAGGAGATAAAGCGATAGATAAACCTTTGTTAATCACAGGGAATAAAAAATGAGGTACAATACTATCTGCAAAATTTCAAAGCAGTTTTTTACTCAGTCGTAATTATCCCAAAAGAGCCCAGGTAACATTATTAATTTGTTTGCTACTTAAGCGTGATAAAATTTGGGATCTGAGCTGCCCATTGTGTGCTGTGCACAGCCACAGATTCTATGTACTCAAGAAGACCTTTCTCACAGTCCAGAAATTAGGTGCTATTGACATTGTAATCTTTGTAAATGTCCTTAATGAGCCCCAAAGACACAAATCTCATAGATAAAACCTCAAAGTAACAGTGACTCTTTACGGGGCTTGGCTGTGAGGGAAAGCTCAAACATAAATATCTTAAATACAGGAGGAACCCAAATTCAAACCTAGATTACATTGTGTTGTTAATTCTCTGAGATATTAGGGAAGAAACATCCAAGAGGTGATTCAAAAGCTTTTAAATTCTTTCTTTTCATCCTTTGAAATTTGGGACCTGAAAATTTTTGTTTTGTTTTTACTAAGTGTAGTTAAAAATGTATAAATATAAATATTGATTGAAAGTGTTTTTGTTTTAAATACAAAAATAATTTTAACAGTAACAGGAAATTGGGATTTAGCAGATAAAAAGAAAAAGAATATTTTTGGCACACAGTTAGCATTGTTTTACATATTGCATCTACACTTCAACTATAATCAATATAATGTAGTAAGGTTTTCAAATTCATATCCAAATGCATATTTAATAATATCACTATATATACTATATATAACATTATTTAGTATGTAATTGATGGTATAAAAATGATAGAAGAAGAAATTAATCAATGAATTATGAGTTAAGTTCCAGGACTAACCTGATTGACTAAATATAATTTATTAAGGTGTTTGTAAATGTTAATATTACTGCCACCATCTTGTCTACTACCTTTTTTATTGTCACCAACTACCTATTATTCAAATGGTATATTTCTAAGCTATATATGTCATTTTTGTCTTTGAAACTTAAAATGATTCTCAACCAACTTTTCCTAAGAATTTCCTTGTTCTTTGTATCTATACTACTAGCTCTGCACAGGAATCCCTGTCAGTAGCTCGCCAGTAGCTTGCTGCTGCCTTCCAGTAGCTTTGCACCCTCTGCCCCACCCTCCTGTAGGTCCCCTTGTCCCCCCTCTCAGTCTTCCCTTCCCCCTGTTCCCTCCTAACCTACTGCCCTGTTCCCTTCTGTAGTTCTCCACCACCTATTTGTAGCTCACTGCCCCACCCTCCTGCTGATCCGTGATCTGGTTGTTATATGATCAGTCGTTATACTTCACGGCATAAAGACCATTTGCATATAACATCTTATTATATAGGATTCTAAAAATATTTTCTTTTTCAATATTTTCCAACATTTGATTATGAAATTTAAGTTAAATTTATTAGGATGATATTGGTTAATAACATTATATAAGTTTCAAATATACATTCTATAATATATTGTCTGTATAATTGCATTGTATGATCACCACTGAAAGTCTAGTCTCTTTCTATGTTTCTCAGGTAACCACCATACTATATTGTCTGCGTCTACGAAGTTTGTTTTGCTTGTTTGTTTACTGCTTTCTGTTTCAAATCTCACAGATGAATGAAATCATATGGTTTTTATGCTTTTCTATAATACTTACTTTGCTTAGTATAATACTGTCAATATTCAAGCATGTTGTTGCAAATAGCAGCATTTTATTCTCCCTTATGGCTGAATAGTATTCCATTGTATATATGTACCACGTCTTCTTTATCCAATTTTCCATCATAAGACACGTTAATTCCATGTCTTGGCTACCATGAATAATGCTGCAGTGAACACAGGGATATGTTTATCTCTAAAGATTTTTTTCTACTCGAGGCATGGAATTTACAGTATTAGATGTAAATATTAGATGGTAAAACCTGGAAGATCAGCACCATATCTCACGGTATGCCTTTCCAATTACAGGGAGTATTCAATGGTTAAGAAAAAGTTCAAGTTTACTACCTGAGGTCCAGATGAGGAGGAAACTTATATCCAGGAAGGAGAGAAACTACCTGGAGACTGGTAAGAAGGGTGAGGTGGTGAGAGGGGCTGACCCAGCTTGCACAGGCCGCAGGCCAAGAGTGAGGACGGAACTCTTGGCCACGGGAAGATCTTTTCCCTCAGAAGTTTGAGGCCTAAAATCCAGCCTGGGCACCACATTTATCTGTGAGATATGAAACCAAAGCTGAGACCAGCAGCGCACATAACATCCAGCCGTGAAAAGTGGCAGGGTGGTTTGCCATCAGGTAGTCTGGAGCCAGTAGACTGGAGCTGGTTGGAAATAAAGCCTCAGATTCTGGTGTGTGTGTGTGTGTGTGTGTGTGTGTGTGTGTGTGTGTGTGTGTGTTGTTTTTTTAACTCAGGACACAGGAGTTTCACTTGCAGCTACTCACCTTCAGGGAGGTTGGTGTGGACTCGAGGTGCCTAAGGAGAGGCTGGGGTGGGAAGTATTGGAGGAAGATGTGGAGAAGCAGCAGCTGGGAGTCCTGGGTTCAGCTGGATACCTCTAAATTAACTTAAATGGCCATTTTTCCTGAGAGGACCTACCCGTTCCCAGAAGCCACAGCTCAGGAAAAGGAAAAAAATCTGCCCTCAGTAATACAGACCATCGCACCCTCAGGAGCCCTGCCTGCCCACCCTGCATCTTGACCTTTGCAAAGGATTCAGCCAGAGGCCAACCCGCCCCTTTGAAGAGTCTCAGAGAGCGTCTGAGTTGGGGGTGGGACTGTCTGTCCCACTATCCTGGGAACCTGACCAGTGCCTCCCTTGCACCAGGAGAGCTGATAGAAACTCCAGGTTTCCAGCTGATCCCACTGGATTGCATATGAGGATCTCCGCCCAGCTGTGGGCAGAGTAATATTCTGGGCCATTCACAGAGGAGT